CAGGAGGCGGCCAATTGATGTTCTCTCTCATTGATGTTTCTCTCTCTCTCCCTCACCCTCTCAAATCAATCAATAAAAAATATTTTTTAAAAAACCCATATGTAAGCTTAGATGTTTCCTTAATTTTTCAATTATATTTACACATTTAATACATTATCTTAACCACTTCAAATGTACAACCAGGCTGACATACAAACCTAGCAGCAAAGAATTTCTAAGCCCTCCAACCGGAACCCAGTGTGTGCTCTCAGAGAGCCTCAGGTCAGAACTGCGGTGGAAGGCGTGTCATGGGTTTCACACGTGTATCTGTTCTTAAAGCCTTGAATATGTCACATGGCCTGTTCCCTTTTTTTGAACCATAACCTCTGATATGAATTACAAGGTCCTATATCTGTTCAGGTATAAGTTGCTATTTAATTCGATACTGTACCCTTCTTATATACTATTTATATACTTGTCCCACAGTTTCATAGTTACTGTGTCAAAACACAGTATTTTATAATATTTATTTAATACCCTGTCTTTCAATGTTACACTATTTCCAACTTTCAAACATACTTGTAGAAATATATTTTTTCTTTTTAATTTTTAATTTTATTTTTGTTACAGATGTTTCTCCTTTTTTACCCCATTGACACCCTCCTCCCCACCCCCACCCCCCGCCCCATCCCCAGCTTTGTTGTCTGTGTCCATTGGTTATGTGTACATGCATATAAGTTCCGTGGTTTATCTCTTCCCTCCCCACACCACCCCCTCTTCTGAGGGTTGTCAGTCTGTGCCCTACTTCCATGTCTCTGAGTATACCCTATTCCTCAGACTGTTATGTTCATTATATTCCACAAATAAGTGAGACCATGTAGTATTTGTCTTTTTCTGCTTGGCTTGTTTCATTTAGGATAATACTTTCCAGGTCCCTCCATGTTGTCTCAAAGGATAAGAGATCTTTCTTTCTTACAGCTGCATAGTACTCCATTGTGTATATGTACCACAGCTTTTTTACTCATTCGTCTACTGATGGACATTTGGGCTGTTTCCACATCTTAGCTATTGTAAATAGTGCTGCTATGAACATGGGGGTACATATATCCTTTCTGATTGGTGTTTCAGGCTTCTTAGGATATATTCCTAGAAGTAGGATCACTTCAATTTTTAATTGGCAGTTAAATTTTTAATTTTTTGAGGAAACACCATAGTGTTTTCCATAGTGGCTGCACCAGTCTGCATTCCCACCAGCAGTGTACTAGAGTCCCCTTTTCTCCACACCCTCGCCAACACTTGTTGTTTGATGATTTGTTGATGGCAGCCATTCTGACAGGTGTGAGGTGATGCCTTATTGTTGTTTAAATTTGCATCTCTCTGATGATTAGTGATGTTGAGCATTTCTTCATATGTCTCTTGGCCATTTGTATGTCCTGTTTGGAGAGGTGTCTATTTAGTTCCTCTGCCCATTTTTTAATTGGGTTCTTTGTCTTCCTTTTGTTGAGTTGTATGAGTACTCTATATATTTTGGAAATTAACCCCTTATCTGATGTATCATTGGCAGTGATATTCTCCCAGAAGTATATTTTTTGTACATCCTTATTTCCTTTGGATAACTCACAAAATAGATAATTGGATGCCATTGCCCCAATATTAGTTATGTAATGTAGTCTAACATCTGCCAGTGCAAAGCTTCGACTGATGCTCCCATCAGCTTCCTGGTAAAGCTGAGAATCAGTTTGTCAATTAAGGGACAATCCTATTGAGATTATTAAGTGAAAATGACTAAGGTTATATATTAATATGGTAATATCAAGCCCTTTATGGTATAATAGAAGTAATAGAAATAAAACAGAAGCAAAATGATGTGTTTTCTTGTAATTTCATGGAAAATACTTCTGAAGTTCTCTTAGGGATGAAAGAGGACCAGCAGAGGAAGTCTTTCCCACCAGCCACTAGAACACACGTTACATAGTTAAAACAGTGATGTTGGCATCAAAGCGCATAGCTGCATATAGTCCTTTATTTATACTATCGGAAACTTCCCCAAAAGTCATGTGGATGTTGAATCTTATCAAATGCCTTTTTCACTTCACTCAAGATGATCATATCTTTTCCCTTCACATATATTTGTATTTTATTACAATCATGTACTCATTTGAAGCCTTCCTTGCATTTCTGGAATAAATCACACCTAGTTCTAAAAAAAAAAACCCCAAGAAAACAGTGTCGGTGTACTAAAAGTTTCAGAGTTTTGCATTTGCCTTCCAAAGGAAGATTGATTTGTCTATAGATGTTTAGCTCTTTCAGTATTATCTCGGTTAACTCCTAGAATTTTGCCGTGCAAGAGGATTTGGAAAGCTCTCCCTCTGCTTCGTGTTCTGGCGTAGCACCCTAAACAAAGGAACTAATGGCATTGTCATCCATGGAGAGGAACTACGGTGGCCTTTGTCACTTCCCCAGATACTCACTGGTAGGGAAGGATCACCGCAGGAATGAGTATGTTGCAATCATTATCTTGATGACAAACATTGCGGCCCAACATTGGTTGACACATACTGAATGTGGTTTGTGTATTTAATCTTCTTAATGAAATCCCAAGGAAAATATCAATCCACCTGCTAATGACGATAAATGGGCTTTGCACTCACAGCGTGCTCTTACTCCCCGGAGCACAGAGCTCTTCACGATTAATTATTTCAGTCATCCTCACAGCTGTCCCCTGAGGTGGGTGGCTGAGCACTTCCTCTTTAAAAAAAAAAAAAAAAAAGGTAACTAATTATATTTTCTTCTCTTCTACATGATATTTTGGAACTGGGTAGCCACCTTAGAAAGACCGTCTGGATGTCAGCTGGTGGACCTAGGTTTTAAAATCACAGGCTTCTTCCACATCCGGTGCCAGGCTCACAGCATGGAATAGTCATGTTGGAGGAAATTGGGGTGAGCATTTGGCAAGATGCTCCAAGCGGTCTAGCCTGGAGTTGGTAAAAAGAGACAGGTAATGGCCGAGTTTGTGCTGTGGTACCCCCATTAGGAATAGTAATCCATGGTGTTGAAGGCCTGTTTTTAACACTGTCTTTACTTACTCTTCCTACAACAATATGCGAGGCCACTACAGAGAATATCCGTGAGCCCTGTTTTACAGAGAGGGGCTCTGGTGCCTTCTCACCCAACTCCAATGTGTTAGCAGCTGGGAGCTGCCCGGGGACAGGAGAAAGGGAGATGCCCAAAGCTCTTAGTTATAGCCCTTAGCGGGTCTCCATCCTTCCGCCATCCTCCGCTTCTCTGCCATTCCTCAGAAATGGACGGCGCCTCCCTGTGGCCATGTCTGGTCAGGGCAGCAGGGGTACCGGCAGGCTCGCCTGACCTAGCCATCAGCTGCTCCTTATTGCTCTTACAGCGTGCCCTCCAGTCTTCCCAAAGAGTTTGGTCATGTTAGTTCTGCCTCTTCCATTAGACTGTGAGCCCTTTGGGTGAATGTTCAGGTCGGTGTCATTTTGTTGTTTTTCTTTAAACTCCTTTTAATTGCCCCCACATACGCCTCACCGTTGGGGCATTTAGGTGCACAGTCAACACTTGTGGTTGCTCTGTTTGCCATCCACGACTGCCAACAAATATTGCCTGCGCTTATTAACTGTGTCATTTTAACAACTTTTTTGCCTTTCGTTAAATAAAGGCTTAGCTGTCGCCACTTTGAGTTTTTCCTCCTCATTTTTCCCCCCTGAAGTTACCCTGAAAGAGAGGCCTTTAAAAAGCAAAGGATTATGCTTCAGTTGTGCAGTGTACTCGAGCTGGGACTAATTAGAAGGTTCGAAAACCTCTTCAGGTGGCTGGGATCTGTAGCGGGACTAAAATACTGCTCTTGCAAATCGAGAACAGCTGGGCCGTGTTGCTGGCGCGTATAAAGAGCGGTGCTGGCCCCATGCTGTGAACGCAGCCCTGCTCTGGAGCCTGTGCAGCTTCTGCCGAAGGCACCCTTTCCTCACTGGGTCGTGGTGGGTAAGTGCCCTGAGCGGTCCTCTCGTGCCTGTTTCTGTTTGCCAGACACGGTGCTGGCTGCACCAGAACCTTACTGATTTACCGAGGCAGTCGCAGTAAGTTATTTTATCCTTCAAGCAACGAGTAGCGCCTGTTCGCTCGATGAGACATAACTACGGCTTGTGCATCTGAGGCTGTTCCTTTCGAGGTTTCCTGGGGTGTGTAGGGTGTGCATCTCTGAACATGAAAGGGTAAACTGAGGCAGTGCCATTGAGTTCCTGAATATGTTCTGAAGAGGGATCACTAAAATATTCCAGATTAGAATACAATTTTTTTCATCCTCACCCAAGGATATATATTTATTGATTTGAGAGAGAGGAAGGGAGAAAGACAGACAGACATCGATATGAGAGAGAAACATTGATCGGTTGCCTCCCACATATGCCCTGACTGGGCATTGAACCCACAACCTAGGTATGTGCCCTGAGCAGGAATCAAACCCGGAACCTTTTGGTGTGTGGGATGACACTCCAACCAACTGAACTGCCAGGCCAGGGCAAGACTGATTTTTAGAAAATAGAAAGTTGACTTTTTTACAAATGCAGAGGGTAACAGTTATTCAGTGTATGTAATCATCACGGTTTCTTATTCTGTGAGGTCCATGGAAAAGCTGCAGTCTTGGGAAGGAATGATGTGATCTGGGGAGGTTCTAGCTTATTGTGACTTCACGGTTAGCAACAGGTACTAGTACCTGATGAAGTGTTTGCAATGTTGGGTCCTGGCCTCCATTTCAAGAAACTTAAAAGGAACTGATTGTTAAAATGTTCCTGTTCATACTGACATCAGCTCAAAAAGAGAGGAATTCCAAGATGAAACAATTCAACATTTTCTAAATAAGCTCAGCAGCTATAACTATGTTCTGACGATACTGTAATTGTGAAGCAGATGGCTTGGGGTTTTGTTTTCGTATTTTGATCATGTTTTGGATGGTTGACAATCGGACAGGCTGGATTTCTGAACATAGTTTTGTTTTGTTTTCACAGGTGCCACAGTAAAATTTGGGGGGAAAAGAAAATAGGCTTGCTCGTCTGAAAGCGGCGGACGTGCAGGGCGAGCTGCATGGGAGGCCCAGTCGTCTGGTGGCTGCTTCCCGCGTCTCCCACCGGGAAACAGAGTCAGGTGAAGAGTCCATGTTGATCTTGGAAGCAGAAGGATTCCAAAACGTTTCTACAGAGAACTTGGCCATCTCCTTTTTGATCTGAAGACCGGGGGACCATGGATATCATAGAGACCGCGAAACTTGAAGAACATATGGAAAATCAAACCACCGACCCAGCAAACACGTACACGCAGCCGGCTGAACCCGCCGAAGAAGAAAACAAAAATGGCAACGGAAAACCCAAGAGCTTATCCAATGGGCTGCGGAAGGGCACCCGAAAGTACCCAGACTATATCCAGATTGCTATGCCCACTGACTCGAGGAACAAGTTCCCCCTAGAGTGGTGGAAAACAGGCATCGCTTTTGTGTATGCGGTTTTCAACCTGGTCCTGACCACCGTCATGATCACAGTTGTACACGAGAGGGTCCCTCCCAAGGAGCTCAGCCCTCCGCTCCCAGACAAGTTTTTTGACTACATTGATCGGGTGAAGTGGGCATTTTCTGTATCAGAAATAAACGGGATTATATTAGTTGGATTATGGATCACCCAGTGGCTGTTTCTGAGATACAAGTAAGTAGGTGTGACACGTGTTTTGGGAGGGTGGCCGTTCGTTTGTATTTCAGTGAGAAGATGTGTACTTAGAAGCATCTTGGCTTTATCTCATAAAACTCAGTCTCATCCAGGCATTTGATGAAGGAGGCATAGAAAGCTCCGTCCCGTTGGCTAAAGGCAGCCGCTGTCCGGTAGGAGAGCCGCGTGCTGCGGTGGGTGACTCAGAGCCCGCGAACTTGAGGCGCAGCTCTGATTCCCAGCAACTTGGCACCGTGCTCTCCGCGCGATGCATCAGGAGTCCCGGGAGTCATAACATGCGCTTCATCACGCGCGTGTTATTTCAGGCCCCTGACAGGTGGGGAGGGGGGCGGCAGCTTTTCCCTCGTCCTTCCCAGAGCCGTGGCTGTATTCAGTGTGTAGGTGTTAGCGTGTGCTGGGGTTTGCTTCTGCTCAGGAGTCCTCACATTTTCCACGTCTTTTCCTGTGGCCTGTTGGCAAGCCAGTCGCAAGAATCCCTTTAAGAGACTGGATTTAGCAGTGGGTCCCTGCGGCTTTGGTTTTAGATTCCTAAGGTCAACTCGCCGGCTGGCTTCCCCGCAGCACCACAAAGGAGCTCTCAGTGGGCTGGTTTTGGCCCCCGCTGTGGAAGAGCAGGAGTTGGGAAGGCCTGAGCCAGGTACTTTGGCTTTGAAGACACTTAAAAATAGGACCTAGCTCTGAAGTGGTTGTTTTCATTTTCCTGTTCGTTCCATAAAAAACAAAGCCCTTCTCTTTCCCATCCCATTCGGCCTTCAGATGTTTGTTCTCCACCAAGATTCTAGTTTGTGTCAAACCACTAAAATATAAGTTTGATCAAAACACTGGCCACAAACAGAGGCTTTCTGAAAATGTAATGTGTGCCGGCGTAGTCGACGCAGTTCAGAAATTCAGAGTTCAGTAGGATTTCTGTATCAATGCCGTGAGATTATTTTTAGAAGCGGGCATTTGGGACTTTGTTCTTTCAGTTGGTTGACACTTTGAGATCAGAAGCGTTTAGTCCAGCTTTGCTAGAGTCCCCTGCAGGCAAGTTTGCAGTTTCAGGAAACTTATTTCACGAACAAGTCATTTCTGAGAATTTTCCCGAAAGTGTCTCTCTTAATATGTTTCCTTAATATGTGGAAATAAAATAGCTATTGTCTTCCACTTAGTAGAACGTCTTGCTGCTCAGGTTGTCCGCGACAGCATGCCTGTGCTGAAAGTAAACGGTATCTGTTGAACTTGAGCACTTTTCTTTTTTGTGTCTGGAATTGACACTGAATACGAGAGGGACTGCTTGGGAGAGAGGTGTTTGCTTTCGCCCCTAATTTAGAGCAAAGTTTTACTCACGTGTGTGTGAAAAGAGAGACTGTCCAGCTTCCAGCCTGACATACAATCACAGTTTGTTCGAATCTTCACCTGAGAGTTGTTGACCACCTCTCCATATTGCCTGAGATTTTACGCTGTCAAACCTGTGGTCACACAGCTCGCCACATGTTTCAGTGATACTGCTCCAGTCACAACCCATCATCCAAAACTTGCTGGGGAAATCACACTCATTTTCCTTTTTGCCTTTGAGGTAGAATTGGAGCTTACATTTTAGTGACTAGTGGAATAATTTCCATAACCTGTTTTGAACATCCAGCTGAAGAAGAAATCTCTCTCCCTCTCTCTCTGAAAAGCTCCTTCAAAGCTCCGGGAACGTCATTGGTAGTTGCTCCTTTTCTAAATAAGGCTGCAGAGGGCATGCTTCACCTTCTTAGTTCATTTTCTCTGCAGCTAAGCTCAGAACCCTGGAATGAATGTAACTGACTCATAACCCTACTTGTCACTTCCTCTTGTCTAATGCACGGAGCGCAGTTCAGAACTCTTTGGGGGCCTGGGGTTGCATGAAGGGGTGAATTGTTTCTCACTTAACCGAACAGAGAGACTCAGCACTATCACCTGCCCCTCTTCGCACTAGCAGAGGCAGAGCCTGGACAGCGAGCTGTGACAGCAGAGCCTTGCAGGACGCGCATGCTTTCATCAACTAGTCAAGGTGGTGGTTCCATTTTGACCCCAGAAACCCTGGAATGTTCTCAAAAGAGCTACTAGAAATAGGCATCTAAAATTATGTTTGTACATGGTTCTTTAAATTAGAAGTCCCAGCAGTTACCTGAATTAGACCCTGATACATGTCAGACCACAGTCTTGTAGAAAACTTAAAATATGCACCCTGGCCGGTTGGTTGGAGCATCATCAAGTACACCAGACGGTTTCAGGTCCCATCCCCAGCGAGGGCGCCTACAGGAGGCAGTGTCTCACCACCCCCCCCACCCCCCCGCCCCCGCTCTCTCTCTTCCCCTCTCTCTACAATCAGTAAGCATGTCCTCAGGTGAGGATTAAAAGAATAAATAAATAAATAAATAAATAAATAAATAAATAAATAAATGCCACATGCCTGAAATGTCCTGTTTTTCCAGAACTCGTTGACCATTACGAGTTTGGGAAATTTGAGAGCTCAGAACATGGGAGATCTGGAATGTACTAGGGAAGTTACAACTAGTAATTCCAGTGGCTTTATGGATCCCACCCATCACTTAGTCCCCAGAGCCCAGTGTTTATAAACCCACCCCCTAACCACACAGCGGAAGGATGCCCAGCACCCTGGATGCCCTTGCGGGCCCCCTGGAGGCTGTGGTGCCTGTGTGCTCAAGGTCAAGTCAACCCTGGAGCCACTGCCGTGGGCCTAGGACATGGTTGGTGAAGGACAGGGACTGGTGTTAGTCAGGACTGTCTCCACCTAAAAATACAAGGTAAAAAAGGACTTGTGGGTGGGTTTTGTTTTTGTTTTGTCTTTTTTGTTTAAGATGGAATAAAGGTAAACTAATTAGTTTATAACTTCACTGTTATATATTCGTAAATGCACGAGGATGCTCTGAACATCTTCAAAATACTCTCTGAAAACCTGTAGTCTAGTCAGAGACAAAATAATTCATGCCCAGGTTGTCAAAATACTCTTGGATGGTCCCCAAATCAACCTTGCATATCATATAACCGGTTCAGTGAGTTGTCCCATTTCCCTAGGTGTCCAATTATGTAGCATCGCATTCGCTCATTAGTTAATTCCTCAGTCACTTTGGGTTGCTTATGCCTTTGATATGTCCTCAAGAGAGAGTTTTATTAATGCGCCGAGTTGACTGAAAACAGAGAGGCTCATTGAATTCTCTTGCAGAGTGACTTTTTTTTTTTTAGGAAAGATGGTTTTCTAGAACCCTTGGTCCATTTTAACTGCTCCCCGCTCAGACTCACTCTTTGTGGGCCCGGTCCACCTAGACTTACTACAATGTGGGGAGACACGGTGTGGCCTCCCCGTGGAAATGCAGGGACGCAGCTCAGAAGTAAGCTGGGAAACTGTGGTCTGTTAATACTTTTCTGTGTTATTTTTTATCCTGTTAAACACTCTTTTCTGTAGCATCAGGAACAGAAACAACCAGTAAACTTGTCTTTTCTCCATCCCTGTCATTCGTTCAGGTCCATCGTGGGACGTAGGTTCTTCTTTATCATCGGAACTTTATACCTGTATCGCTGTATTACAATGTACGTCACCACTCTGCCTGTGCCTGGGATGCATTTCCAGTGTGCTCCAAAGGTAAGCACCTCCGGGCTGCCATGCACAGGACGTCGAGGAAACAGTGTCGAACACCTCACCTCCCTGGTATACAGCCTTCGATACACTTTCACGTGTTAACTAAAATCTGGCATCTTTTCTGGTTCTTTTGATTTGGGGCGGGGAGGGGATTAGGATGTGTTCGTAAAATGTTTATTTTTCTGCATAAAAAACTCACTTCTGCTAACTGAAAGCTATTGTTGGGACTTGGACTCTGCCGTTTGGCCTTTCCTCACGTAAGCGTCCGTTCTCAAGCGCTTCGGTCCTGCGGTGTCCCGGGCCTGCGGTGACACAGTCACCGAAGCAGGTCTTCCCCTGGAGCTCACGCCCTACGGAGAGGTGCCGACTGATGGGGAGTGTGTGACTCGTCACGGGGGACAAGCCAGGCGCTGTCAGATGAATGGTGCAGCTGAGGAGGAGTGAAGGGGACTCGGGCAGGCACTAGTTTATGGAGGAGTGAGAAAGCCTTCTCTACGGAGAAAGCATCGGGGCAGAAATCAAGATGAGGGCATGAACCGCGGACGAGTGGAGAGCTCCAGGCCGAGGAAATGACTCCGTCGCGGTGCCTTCAGGGGAGGGCAGAGAGGCCGGCGCCGCGGGGACAACCGTGTAGGTGGCGGTGGTGCGGCCGGAGATCCCCGGCCGTGTGGCCACGGCAGGACTTGAGCCTTGGCTAGTGAGGAAGTGAGAAGTTGTTCGATTCAGGACACTGTTCTGAAGGCAGGGCCAGCAGGATGTGCTGATAAGCCGGATAAGGGTTTAGGAGAGAGATGTCAAGGACGACCCCAGTTTTTAGCAACTGGACAGAGAGAGTGGCCTTTTGCTGGGCAGTGAGGCACTGATACCGTCTCAAGCTGGATTTACACCTTCAGGGAGAGTCAGTCATTCCTTGAGAGAGCTGTTAATCATCTTGGACCCCGGTGTACCCTGGTTTATAACAAAGGAAACTTATAAATCCTGTGCTTTCTGCACAAAGGAATGAAAGCTAACCTCATACTTCACTGGACACTAAGCAGACGTCCAAGGTGGAAGGAAAAATAAAGTTTTTGTGAAGAAGTCAACAGTCTCCCTCCCCAAATATAGGTGTGGTTTGGAGAAGCTGTACTTTTCCAAAGCCATCAAAGCAGAAAGCATCTGTGAGTAAAACAGTGTACATATTGAACTTAAACATCGGCTGATTTTTAGCAAAGCTAAATTAAGGCATGGGAGAAGTTCAGAAACATAATAAACACTTCTCAGGGGTTACTGCAACGTGTCGAGTGAAGAAATGGCCACAGGGGAACGAGGCGAGCCCATCCTAGTAATGGATGAGGTTTGCAGGGATGAGCTGTGATTACAGAAAGAAAGTATCCTCCGTGGAGGGCTGCAATTTTCGGAAGCCGCAGTAGTAAACATAGCCCTGGATAACCCGGCTACAAATACAGCGGAGCTCTGGTAGCATCCTTACTAATCGGCCCCCATGTTCCGCTGTCAGGACCTCTTCCTGAAGTAGGGGCAGGCTCTTGGTGTCCGGCTCGGGCTTCGGTGAGGCCGACACAGTCACTTGGTTCCACAGAAGTGGTCGGTTTGTTAGAATGGGAGTCAGACCTGCATTCTGAACGGGGTTCAGCCGCTGGCTTCGCATGCTCCTTAGATTTTGTGGTGACGAGGCCATTGGGTAATCTGCCTGTCTCCTTGGTTGCTGGCGCTACAGAATGCCCTTCATGACAATAAGCAATGACAGGACCGAGTGTACGGAAACCACTCGCTAGGGGAGATACCCGATCTCGTCACTGGTGCGCTGCATGTGTCACCACAGGAGCCGTGGCGGCCGTGGGGCCCTGGTGAAACCGTGGCTTTCAGGCTTCCAACTGCCTTCGCCTTATCGACTCTGTTTCCCAAAGTCCCTGCTCAGGATTTGCTTTGAGCCACCCGTCCAAGCTTTTGTTTACGGTCACAAAAATCTGTGTTCTGCAAAGTGCATTTAAATACATTGCACATGAAACTGTATCGCTTTCAACACGCATTTTGCCACATGCAAGCCTGTTGGGCTGGCAGAGATACAGCCCCATCCCTGAGAAAGCTGCCCGCACCCTGGGCCTGGACGTCCAGAGGACTTCTCCTCTTAATTGAAGGGACAGTCTGGATGGTAAGGTTTCTGGTTTGGCGGCAGTCAGGTTGGTCTCTCTTGAACCTTGTTTATTTTTGTGGAAAATGGGGTGTGGTGGCCACAGTTGGAAGAACCCTCAAGAACACTGAGCCCCGTCTGCTGTGGCTGTTACGATTGCTGCTTCTCCTCTTAGCTTTCTCCATCTTCAGTTCCATAGTCAGCGGTGGAACAGGTTGGCGTCTGGAAAACGAGGAAATGAACAGGATCTAGGGTCTTACGTGGGGTGTGATAGGGGTTCCCGTGAACTAGGGCAGAACTAGAAAACAACCCATTCATTTCCAACCCCCCCCCCCATTTCCCAGTAGTCTTCCTATGCTCTTTCCTTTTTTGAGGTTCTGTTTAGCATTTACACCGGGCATGATCTGACAGCTTGGGCCCCAGTGACGAGGTTGGGGAATTAAGGACTGAGCAGAGACACAGCCAGAAGGGGGGTCCTCCCTCTGTTCTGTAAAGGCGCCGTGAGGCAGGTGTTCTCAGAGGTCTCCATGCCCCAGCATTGCTGAGGAGGGATGGGGGAGGAGGGGGCTGGGCTTGTTTTCGCTCCTAGTGTTTGCTTCTGAATCCCTCCAGTAAGGGGCTGGTGGCTCGGAGTGTTTCTGCCCTTTGAAAACTAGAAGTCTTGAGCTGGGATGAGTGAGTGTGTAAAAAAGAAAAATATGTTATGGTTTTGAAAGAAAGAATAATGTGTCCTTTAAACTGGAAACATAGGTGGGCAGAGCGTGTGTACCTTTCATTGGATCTCAGTGTTGACAGGTGTTTGTACCGACCGCATGACAGGTCCCTCGAGGGCTGTGGTTAGTCTGGTGAGGCACATGGTGGACCCCTCCCCATCGGGGACAGCGGATCCCTGCATGTGGTTGGTGCCCGTGTTCCTGCAGCTCTGTAGCAGCCCCGACCTTCCCGGGGGACCCTGTGTGGCCCAGAGGAGGCAGGGTCACCTGAGACGAGGCACGTTTGTTTTAAGGACTGTTATCTCTTGAGAAAAGCACACAAGTCCTCTTGGTTTCTGTCATCGGGGCTTGCCCTAAGCAAACTTGTGAAGAAGGTTAAGTTTCTTCACAACCTCCCGTTTCTCAACCTGCCCATAATCCTTGTTTACGTCTTTTCTGTTCGACCCTGTTCTCAATGGCTAACAAGTCATGGTGTGTTTGCTTTTTCACAAGGGTCACCCGAATCCCGGAGAGCTTTCCAGATCCGTGAGATTGTTATTAATTGGGAAGGTTGCCCTGGCTGGTTTGGTTCAGTGGTTAGAGCGTCAGTCCAGAGAGACCCGGGTTCGGTTCCCGCTAAGGACATGTACCTCAGTTGCAGTTTGTCCCCGGCCCTGGTTGGGGTTGTGTGGGTGGCAACCACTCGATGTGTCTCTCTCACATCGATGTTTCTCTCTCTCTCTCTTCCCCCTTTTCTCCCTCCCACTCTATCTGAAGATAAATGCAAAAATGTTTTCAGCTGAGGATAAAAAAAACAAAAACATAACTGGGAAGGTTTAGGTACCCCGTTATGGGTGTGCCAGGCAAGGACTCCCGCCCCAGTTCCTTCTTGTGCGGGACTGGATGGCTTTCCATGTGCTTTAGAGGTGACCATAATTTCTCCACTCCTGGACTCTCTCCGCATCCATGAGTACATGTCTCACTCTCCGTCACCACCATACACCCACCTGGACAAGACACACCTGTCTTCACCACTAAGCAGTTGACCCACCATCATGGCTGAGCTGGCCGAGCCGCAGGGCAGCCGCCCAGAGGGTCAGCGTTGAGTATAAAAAGCCACATGCCATTTCCGCTGTCCCTCAGGTCCCCAAAATAGTCATTACTGCTCTTTCTATAATTCTCTTCTCATGTGTTCTCTCAGTCTTATTTCCGAGTATCATCCTTTAATTTTCTAAGCCTAGTCAGTTTATCCCAGATTGATCTTAAATCCTCCATCGGACCCCCAACATGTCAGTATTCCAGTGTTCCGTGCCTACCATACTGACCAGCTCAGCCCACTCCTCCTCCTTGTGGGCTTCGGTTTTCATGGGTTGTACCCCTGACTATTGCCTCGGACTCCTGCCTGGCCCCTCATTGTTTCCCATGTCATCATGTTGCTTCTAGTGGCTTCTACGTTCTTGTCCAAGGGAGCGCTTTCCTGATCTCCTTGGGGGGTGTTTTTCCTGATCAGAGCCGCTCATTTTAAAGCTGCCTATCAGTTGCTAATCCATTATGTTCAAACCCATTTAAAGTATTTAACGTGTTAGCAGCTCCCCTCGTGCACATGCAGGCAGCCCACTTAACACAGTGTGGCCGCCCTGTGCCATACCAGTAATTGCTGTGCAGCTGAATCAGATGTTAACGTCGAAACCCTGACTTCCCCCAGCAAAGTGGAGAGAATGTAGCTGTGGTGAGGTCACTGTTACTAATATTTTTTAAAGCTTTGCCCAAGGACAAATCACCAAAACATATTAGTGATATATTAAATAATTTAAAATGTCCCTAAAAACTGGACAATATAATGAATAAAACCCAATTTGGGGAACTTACCCCTGGGAGTTTCTTTGACTTTTTAAGTTCAAAAAAAAAAAAATCACAACCTGGTGACCTTTCTAAGTATCACACAAATTAGGCTGAAACATGATTGTATCGGCGTGTAAATTTTCTTCCCGGCCTTCTTGTGTTCCGCAGCTCAACGGGGACTCTCAGGCAAAAGTGCAGCGGATCCTGCGGTTGATTTCGGGGGGAGGATTGTCCATAACTGGGTCACACGTCTTGTGCGGAGACTTCCTCTTCAGTGGCCACACGGTTGTGCTGACGCTGACTTACTTGTTCATCAAAGAATGTAAGTAACTCATTCCCGCGGGAGGGATCTGGAGGGATCGTTGTGGCGGAGCGATCTCTAGGCGCTGAAAGTGGGCAGAGCCCTTACTCTGTTGGTACTGATAGAGATGGGGAGGGCGGGCAGGAGGGGAGAGTTAGTTTTCAATCATTTCAGCTAGTTATATGTGATTGAAACACTGAAGGCTTAAAACATGGCCCTAGCTTCTCTCTGACATTTAGCACGCCCCCAAAACATCTCCCGCCATGGTTAGTACGTCTCCAGGTAAGAGAAGCTTTTCCGTGTTGGAACCAAGAACGTTGTTAAGTTTATTGTGCTCTCTGGCCAAACGTGCATGACTTTGGAGGGAAATTTCCACTGTGTAGGAAACTTCCATCATTCCAAATAATTTAGTTACTGTTTTCCCCTTTTTAAAACACATCCTTGTCCCCCGTTACTCTACCTTCGCACTTCCAGCGGACCTCTATGGTTTCCTGGGCACCTCCGTGGCATATTTTACCAATACCGATCATCTTCTTTGTAAGAAGCAATGCGGAAGCAAGAATGGGAAGTATGTTTCCTGATTTATGTTCCGAATTTCCATTGTATAAAATCCCTGTGCATCTCAGCCGCTGCAGTGGCTGGAACGGTGTCTTGTTTCCTGTGGGCTGTTTTTGGTTTCCACGGCCTGGTTGTCCCATTCTTGTAGGCTTCTGAGGCAGTGTACATTTAGGCCCATTAGCCCCAAGTCCTTGTGAAATCTCCATGCTGCCCCTCCGTTTTTGCAAAGCTGCTCAGTGATGACCTTCATTCATCTCATCTCGACTTCCAAGACACCCCTGCCAGTGTTAGTCAGAAGTTTATCTCAGTTCTCTTCACTTATCCTATGGTGCAGCTTCTGGAATGTTTCCTTTGTAAATGCTACACGTGGACTCAGAGCAGGGAGAGAAGCGGATTAAGTGTGCAGCTTGCATCACACTTGCCTTTTAGGTGGAGGGCCTTCCACACCCTTCCCTGCCCGTATTTCCCATCTCGCTGTCAGAGAGGTGGTGGTGGGCAGAGCCCCGGGCTGTCCTCACCAGCAGCAGAAGACAGTCTCTTCCTTCCAGTTTAGTTACTGCATTTCTAATACCTACTTATTGGTTCTGGGGGCGGGTGGAGTGATGTGCTTTGTATGAGGTTCTAACTCGAGCCTTTGCCAAGAAGACTCCCATCTATCTGTATGTGAGATCAATCATTGTTCAGCCCAGAGGGGCATTTGAGTTGAAGGATTTTCTCCCTGATCTGAAGGTCATGAAAAGCTTATAGAACAGGAGGGTGAGGGCAGGGAGGAGTTGCATGTTAAGGGTGAAGCCGCTGTGGGTTGAAAACCATAAAGTAATGAGGAGGAAAACTCTCCAGGGAACCGAGAGCGAGTTCTGAGATAACACACGTGGTGTGAACAGTAGCGGCAGATGGGACGGCTCCTCTGCGCCAGGCTCTCTCCGCGCTTCGTGCTGTCGATGAGCTCCCTGCACCCTCCGCATGAGGGAAGCACTGTTACTCCTCGATTTCCAAAGGGGAAGCTGATGCATAAAATGAGGAACCTAACCCTGGGCCACAGTTAGTAACCGGAGGACGGGCTGTTCATACTGGAGCAGGTTGACTCCAGAGGTTACGCTGTTCATTTCTTGGTTCTGTTGAGAATTGTTGGAAGCCCAAATTGTCTGATTTTATAGAATTATGAAGGAATAGTCTGGATATATTGCTCATCATTGTTCTTTTACCTCAGAACAACTGAGGGCAACTTATGATACCTTTCATACATTATAGTTTTGGTTTTTCTTTAGCCTCACCCAAGGACATTTTTCCATTTTTTGTTCAGGTAGAGTGGGAGGGAGAGAGAGGAAGAGAGAGAGAGAGAGAAACATCGACGTGAAAGGGACACGTCGAGTGGCTGCCACCTGCACGACCAACCAGGGCCGGGGACAAACTGCAACCGAGGTACGTGCCCTTAGCGGGAACTGAACCCAGGTCTCTCTGGACCGCAGGCAATGCTCTAACCGCTGAACCAAACCGGCCAGGGCCCTTTTATACATTATAATGTAGGTTATGCAGCGTGTAGAGACATTTTCTTTCCAAGATAGGACTTTGGCTTGAGATTTTTGTTTTGTTTTTTTTTTATAGAGAGGAAAGAAGGGGATGTGTGTGTGTGTGGGGGGGGGGGTGTGATTGATTGATTTGTTATTGCACTTATTGGTGCATTCATTGGTCACTTCTTGTATGTGCCCTGACTGGGGATCGAACCTGCAGCCTCGGCACATTGGGACAGCATTCTAACCCACAGCTCTACCCAGCCAGGGCTGGCTTGAGGTTTTTTAAATTGTGTAAGTTTACATACAGCAAGGAAAGAGTTATATCCTGCTCTTTCCAATCTTTGATGAGAAATCAAATGGCGAATCTGTTATATTCAATACAGCTCGACCTTAAAGCCAGTTCTCCACGGGAACAGGCGCCCCGTGTTCGTGCCGTTTCCTGTGCAGTCAGGGGAAACAGCACTTTCTGAACCACACCAGTGTTACTGTCCTGAGGAAGCAGCAGTCCTGGAACAGTCTGCTTCCAGAAGTAGCTGCATCGTTTATGGGTGTTTTTTTTTTTTTTTTTTTTTTTTACTTTCCTGCCTTTTGATCAGTTCGGAGTCTCTCCTTGTTTTCCCTGACGTCATGAGTAGATTTTAACGTAGTTATGAGAGCGGATGAAAACGTGGGACCAGGACCCTTCTGAGGTTCACGGCAGAGGGCTTCACACAGCTGTGCAGATCTTATCACTGGGGCTGAGGTGTCCTAGAAAATTAGCCTGGGGAGCTCAGCCTAGCTCCTGGCACCACCTGTCTTGCTAGTTGCGAAAACATTGTTTTTCTACCTTGCTACCACACAGACAGCGGCATTACTAACGTGTGTGTGTCATCAGCCTACACTGGTGCTATTCCTCTGGGTAACGAGAGAGCAGAGGACCGCATTCAGCAGCTCTGTTTCAGAGTCTTTTCCTTGGGTCGGCCAGTGTCCTTGTTGAAAGAGCAGTGGCCCCAACGTGGTGGCATAACAGACCATGCATTTTAGGGGTTCCCAGCGGTCCTAAAACCTTGTTTTCAATTCCACGGGAAGTAAAGTGACCATCAGGCCACCTCCGTACTCCTTACCACTCTGGCTTTGCTTCTCACGCATACACAGATACAAGACAGCTCGGGCCGACTCAGCCATCTTGAACTTGGAAGGTGAACACCAGATGACGTGCTAAGCGAAGGAAGCAGGTGTGAGACCTTGGGGAGGGGGGAGGGCTACAGTATTTAGTGACATCTCCAGGTTTCTTAGTGTGTGTTGGCTCAGAAGGTTACAGATGGAAAAGCCAGAGCAGTTGTGGGGACTGGGTCTGCCCCCGCGGCTCCAAGGGCAAGGCCACTCCGCGCTTTAAAACTGCAGGACTGTGAGTCACCTGCCAGCACATAGTGGCAGGATGGACCAAACCAGAAACACTGAGTTGCACATTCAAAATTAGCTAGTCAGCCCTGGCTGGTTTGGCTCAGCGGTTAGAGCATCGACCTGCGGTCCAGAGAGACCCGGGTTCGGTTCCTGCTAAGGGCATGTACTTCGGTTGCAGTTTGTCCCTGGCCCTGGTTGGTCGTGCGGGTGGCAGCCACTCGATGTGTCCCTTTCACGTTGATGTTTCTCTCTCACTCTCTCTCTTCCTCTCTCTCCTTCCCACTCTACCTGAACAAAAAATGGAAAAATGTCCTCGGGTGAGGATTAAAAAAAAAAAAAATTAGCAAGTCAGATTTGCACGTGCAAATAATACTTGAGACCAAACGAGCAACAGCCATTTTACCAGAGATGTTTTTTGATTTGAATGATACCCAATTTGGGATTTCGTCTAATATTCTGGAAACGGTGCTTCCTGCATTTCAACCACTCTTCTGTACCGGGAAGTAAACATCACTAACCGTGAACACAGTGGGAAGTACATTTCAGTCTGTTAGATTAACTTCGTGAGCTAACAAAGTTTTTATTTTCTTTATTGATTTTTTTTTTTTTTTTTTTAGAGAGAGAGAGAAACATCGATGAGAGAGAACATCGACTGGCCGCCTCCTGCATGCCCCGCACTGGGGATTTGGCCCACAACCTGGGCACGTGTCCTGATCAGGAATCGTACCAGCGACCTCTTGGTGCATGGGTCAATGCTTAACCACTGAGCCACACCGGACCGGGCTAACAAAGTTTTAAAATAGAAAAAACAGTTATTAAAGGAAAAAGAGCAGTCCTAGCAGTGGGCTCTGGCTCCGCTGATGTGTGCTGTTACCACAGTGAGTGCTCCATCCGTCCACCTGGGGGTGCTCTCGTCCTCCAGCTCATCAGTGTGGTGAACTTCTTAGTGGCCTCACTAGGAAGGCAAAGTCCACCAGCGAGTGGGCAAGCTTCACACAGGGCGTGTATCACAGTCGCTATTGGCAGTAACAGTGCAAACTTGCTGAGAATCAAAATATTGCTAGTCACAGTGCTCCTTCTCCCCGCCTGGAGAAAGGGAAGTGAGTGTCTGTCAGCCCAGAAATCATCGCTCCTGCTCTCTCATCTCCCCCCACACCCCCCTTCACTGACAACTAGCTCTTCTTTTGACCCCCTCTGTTCTCCCTTCCAGTGGGATCCCTAATGAGCCAGTCCAGTCCAAACCACCTAATAAGACACAACTCTGTTCGCTTCCTTTTTAAACAGCTTTGCAGTGGGCAAGGCCTCGAGTTTCCAGGGTTACCGGCCTCCCCACTGCATGACCCTCAGACCTGCTGCACGGGTACCCCTTGCCCCCTTCCAGCCTGAGCAAGGCCTGGGCTGTCAACAGCCACCCATTTGGGGTTACTAGTTTCCTCCTTCCTGAGACTCGCTGACCTGAGATTCTTCCAATGAAGGCCACGAGGATAGACTACTCATCACGAAGCTCCTCTCTGGGAACCCTACTGACGCCCCGTTTTCCTCCTGTGCAGATTCGCCTCGTCACTTCTGGTGGTATCACTTGGTCTGCAGGCTGCTGAGCGCCGCGGGGGTCATCTGCATTCTCGTCGCCCACGAGCACTACACTGTGGACGTCATCGTGGCCTATTACATCACCACGCGGCTGTTCTGGTGGTACCACTCCATGGCCAACGAGAAGGTGAGCTGTCCTCGGCGGGCAGTCTGACGGGAGGGACGGCTGTCGCTGCCCACTGTGTGGTTAGGTCAGCGCTCTTCTTAAACTTACATCCATTGTCACCTCTTCAGATAATGTCGCAAATATAAACAACATTTAAGTGAGGGTGGTGCTGATTTGACTAATTTATATGAGAATTAAAGAAGTACGTACATTCACTTAACATCCGGGGCCCCAGCAGTGTGGTACAGCGGGGTAAAACCTTCTCTGCCCTAGAGGACTTCATTTTGAGAACATGATAGCAACTGTTTTTGAAAGTCAGGCCAAATGAGTCACTTACGAATAACTGGATGTAGTACATCTTTTGGTGATGCTGTGCACCCTGGCTGCCCTTCTTCTTCTTACTGCTGCTGCATCCTGTTTCCAGATAAACGTGTTTCCTTCTGCCACTCATTCTGAAAGCACTAGCTCAAGTGCCTCCTCTTCTGGGAAGCCTTCCCGGACTCCTGCTCTCTGCTTCTGGTCCCGAGATGAAAGTATTCCTCCCCTTCTCTATGCCTCCCTAGCCTTGGTGTGTGTCCCTGGTGCGACAGTCAGTCTGTGCTCCACAACTGACTTACCTTGGGGTCATCTTGTCATATTGTCTGACGCATAGTGTTTGGAGGATTTGGGAGAGATTGCAATGTGTCCTTCCCAAAGGATCTCACTCCAGTTGTCACAGTGGTAGTGGTATCCACTCATAAATTACCTTTCTATGGGTTGTGTTGTAGCTCTATTTCCTGCTTTGCACTCTCTTTCCATCTTCCATTTTATTGTCTGCCGACACCACAGAACCAAAATGGTCATCTTTCCTCTTAAGCACGCTCAACCCTGTGGCTCTCCTTTTGCTCTCTCTTCCTTGGCCCACGGATGTGCCCACTCACGCCTCCTGAGACGTGTTCGTCCTCAGGGACTGCCCCATACATCCCCATCTCCACTGTCACTGGACTTGCAGGCAGAAGGTTGGCATAAGCCACAAAGAGGGACGAGAGAGGGGCTGGGAGGGTGGGGCCAGGTCACGTCAGTCAGGGAAGAGGAGCAGAGAGTCACCGCCTTGTGGTCCGGGCTCTGCTGCTTCCCGGCTAAGTTACAGGAGTGACAGTGTAATTAGTGGGGGGAAGAAATTAGGATGCAAACCATGAGAAAAGTGTCTCACTTTCCTTTTCTGTCCGTTACAGAACCTGAAGGTCTCCTCACAGACCAACTTCCTGTCTCGTGCATGGTGGTTCCCCATCTTTTATTTTTTTGAGAAAAACGTTCAAGGCTCAATTCCTTGCTGCTTCTCCTGGCCACTCTCCTGGCCTCCTGGCTGCTTTAAATCACCGTGCAAAAAGTATTCACGGGTTCAGAAGACAGGGGAAGACAATGAGAAATCTACCTGAGGAGCCAAGCAAGGCATCAGCCCTTACACCAAGAGGTATCGCTGTAACCAAAGGTCTAGTTTTGTTTTATTGTTTTTTTAATTTTAGGAGAACTGACTAAAATAGACAAATAAGTGGACCAAACTTTGTGTGAATGACTAGGAAGATGAACCAAGTGCGACCCTTTGACTGGTTTTTTACTGCTCCCGAGAGTTGTATTCTCCTATGGCTCTTCATTCGCGGTGACAAGCCCTCCATCTGGGGTTTCACCCCTCCATCTGGGGTTTGCCCGACGAGCTTGTCACCCAGGTGCCAAAGAACACGTCCGCCTTTCCTTAGTCTTTCTCCACTAAAGAATTTTTTCAGGATATTTTTCCTCCGAGGTCAGAAGAATTTGTCAATGTTTTAAATAAACCATCTGGACGAATACAACTGCTGTGTGAACAGAATAGCCTTATGTTGAGAGTGGATTGGAGCACGAGGCCCATCGGTGAGGGGGAGATGCAGGGGCTGTGAGTCCACTTCGGGTGAACTTCTGGGGGGCGGTCAGGGAGAGGTCTGCACATACGTTCTGCTGCTACCACCCAATGTACTGTGTGTCACTTTGACTTTTTTTTTTTTTAACCTGATCGTTTTATTTAAAGAAATTAAAGAAACGTGATCTAAGTAGATATGGAAATACCTGACACACCCCGCAGATTTGACTTGTGTGTACAGATTCCGTTGCAGGGCTCGGTGACAGCCGTGCGGGAAGCAGGGCCGTCGGTGCTTGCGGTGGTCCCGCCTGCACACACCGCTGTCTGCCCGGGGCCTTTGCCCCCGGCACACCCAGGGCCGGCGCCTGCCAGCACGTGGACCAGCCTGCATTGCTCCCCCAGGGCTCGCCCTGTGTGGGGTCTGGGTCAGAGCTGCGGATTGGGACTCTCAGAAATACAACTGGTCACATGTCACAGAACACCCATTTCTTTCTAGTCACATTCTGCTTTATGGAACAACCAAGACGGAGTCCGGACGTTGAGTACATCCTTGCCTTTTTGCGAGAGGCCCAGCTCCTTGTCCACCGAGTGTTTATAGGAAGGACGAAGGAGAGTTACCACAACCGCGTCATTTTACTCTGACCCTGAAATTATACCACGGTGCTACCCTGTCACCGACTGTGGGAATCGGTGTTCGACAGTTCCCACCTGTCGATGAAGGGGGTCTTTGTTTCTAAAGTTCTTTCAGGTGATGCAGAAAAGAAGCTGGGCTTGGTCAGATTTAACGCTGTCAGAGTTAGTGCACTGTTTACTGCCCGTGGGTCTTGTGCATACTTCTTCACTTCTGACGACTTTTAGTCACCTCAGGAAAGGATTTAAGGTTACAAAGTCTGCCCTGGCCGGTTTGGCTCAGCGATTAGAGCGTCGGCCTGCGGTCAGAGAGACCCGGGATCGGTTCCCGCTAAGGGCACGTACCTCGGTTGCAGTTTGTCCCCAGCCCTGGTCGGTCGTGCGGGTGGCAGCCACTCGATGTGTTCCTTTCACGTCGATGTTTCTCTCTCTCTCTCTCTTCTCTCTCCCTCCCACTCTACCTGAACAAAAAATGGAAAAATGCCCTCGGGTGAGGATAAAAAAAAAAAAAAAAAGTTACAAAGTCAACATAGAGAGCAGAGAGGCCAACTGGGTGGAAAGAGGCAGTTACATTTATATCGAAGGTAAAAATTTCCCACCACTGAGAATGAAAAAAAACAACCCTGAATTTGTCGTTATGAACCAATCAGCCTTGATTTGATATACAAAACTGACCTTTAAATGGTTTGAGAGAAACACAATCCGAACGTAAATGTGTTCAGCAGGGTCATCATCTTTTGGTGCTAAAAGTCGGTGTGTTTCCAGTCTCACTGTTGCTCTGTGTGATGGAAGAATCACTAAAGGAAACGCAGTGGAATTCAACGCTGAGAAGAGAGATTCTCTAATCTGGTTATTAGAAACAAGACACATAACCCTGAACCTTCTTGGCAGGTTTCGGAATGCAAGAAATATTCCTGATATTTATTACTAAACCAATAGGAAACACATCTATACCTTACCGGATGTGTTTAGTCATAATTCTACATAATTTTAGCTTATTTTCATTTACTAAATATTGGCACTTGTGCTAATACAGGGTGTTCTGCTTAAAGACAGTGCTTTTAGATTCCTGTTGTCTGATTGTGAGGAAAAACATCTGACCCCGGAGCCTGGGCTTTGCTCTCTGACCCTGGAATGTCGAGCCTCTAATTTATTTTTGTTTTTAATCCTCACCCGAGGATATTTTTCCATTTAGCTTCTGATACGTGGGAGGGGGAGAGAGAGAGAGAGACAAAGAGACAGACATCGATGTGAGAGAGAGACATCGACTGGCTGCCTCTCGCATGACCCCAACCAGGGACGGAGATGAACCACAACCAAGCTACTGCCCTTGGGTAGAATCAGACCCGTGACTCCTTGGTCCCTAGGCCGATGCTCCAACGGGCCAGGGCGAGCTTCTAATTTAAATAGAACAACCTAGTATACCCTAGAGCCTTACCTGACTCCATCTTAGACCCCTTTTCATCAAATTAAATTAGGAAACATATTTAAGCTTTTAAAATCCTGGTGCATTGATTGTTGGAGACCCTTGAAACAGTAAACCTTGCATTTTAGTCAAATAATCTAGTTTTTTAAAAATGCCATCATCTTTTGAAGAACTTTAAAAACATCTCTGCCCTCCCCTCCCCCGTGTGTGGACATGTCACAGCTCTCTAATAGATGCTGTGGAAGCAGGTGGTATCAAATCAGGGTGAGGGAAATGTCCAAGTTTCAAAATGGGAAGATAGGAGAAACAGTGCATCTCATTTCCATTTAGGAAAGCAAAATTGACCTTTAACCCAACATGCCATTTTGGAATATAAAAAACATAAACAATTACTTGACTTATTGTGGTGATCATTTTGCAGTCCATAGAAACATCAAACCATCATTTTGTGTGCCTGAAACTAATACATCGGTTATATCTCAATTTTAAAAAATGTTGATCTTGCCTTGGAAACAAAATTTTGGAGCTCCTTTCCTTGCTAATCAAGACATGACATCTTACCTATTACTCTTATTTTTGTAAACTAGTACTCCTGTTTGAAGCTTTTCCTATAGTTTAGCCCTCAGTGCACTATCTATAACATGCAATTCCTCTAAATGATACCACTTTTTCCCCTAAATTCTTTGAAATGGAAATGAATTCCTCTCAGAATCTATTTTTTGAGTGAGCTCCTCTGAAAATCACGCTTCCCCAATTCCCCCGGAAGTTATTTTGCACTTGTTATTGAATTGACTGGCATCGTGGGAAACAAGTTTTGCTGTGGAAGGAATGCTGTTTTGAGCGAGGGCTAGTCTCTGGGCTGGTTTATGGATGACTTTGCATCAGGTTCTTTGCTGTGTACCAGCGCCTCCTTGTGGAAGTACGTTATATGATTTGGAACACAAACTTGCCACTTTTTAAAGTGTATTTTCATGTTTTTAAAAGACGTGTTTTTTATTATTTTTGCCAATAATATGGAAGCATAATGTAAAAGAAATTATTTTAAAGGTATTTTAAACCTTTCCCAAAGGGAAAATGTACTTAGATCACAGGGAGTTGCAATTCTAATCTTTTATTCATTTGATGAAAATTTGCAGACCATTTTTACCTCTCACCATCACAATCATTCATGTCTCCCTTTATAGCTACCAACACTTTGTTTACTTTGAAACACCAAGTTGGCTGCCTTTTTTTTTACATGCTAGAACTCATGCAGTTTCTTTTTTCATTGAAACTTCACCTTGTCCTTGAATATTTTAAATATTTCTTTTTTAATTCTTTTTTTATTGTTATTTTTGTTTGCACTGTAAAACTGATTAAAAACTTAAGCCGGTCTTAACACACTTCTGTACTGTAAGGAAGTGTAAGAAGGAATTTCTTAATGTGTTTGCATGTTTAAATCAAGCATATTAAAAGTAATATGCCATGTGTTGAAGGCTTTTCTGTTTGTATGTATAAAGATGCCTGGTATTTTGTTTTGTTAATGTCATTGTGTTGCAGTTATTTAATTCATTTGACTTACTTGCTAAAAGTATTTTGTCTATTAAGAAGTGCTCTTGACTTCAATACCTAAAACACTGAAAATGGTGTCTAAGGTACCCAAAGATAAGTTTTTATACAGATACACACCTTATAAGTTGTGGTTTATTTTATTATTAATTAATCTAACTATGCTTTGTTCTAAATGAATCATGAATGAGAATAGTTGTTTATTTAGGAATTATTTAAAATTGTTTTTTAAAAGAATAAGAAACTATAAATATAAGCTAATCTAGCTGCCAAGTTGGGATTCATATTTAATTTACCTCCTATGCAATGATTAATGCTGCAAAATGTATGGTTATGTTATGGTATATTCATAAAAGAAATATTATGAGGTTTGAGAAGTAGTCAATTGCATTCTTTCAGAAATTTACTGTACTGTTTCAATGTGTTAAGTGCCTTGTTGTAAAGTAAAATTTTAAGCCTAGAATGCATTATTTTCCTGAAATATATTTTTCATTATGATATATACTGTATGTTATTGTAGTAGTTTTATTAAATGCTTATGTTTTAATCAAATATGTGGATTTCAAAAGCTCTTTTCTCCTACCCACCAGTACCTTAGTCATTGGTTTATCAGATGGGATTTGAATTCAGGTTCTTTTCTTGAAAAGAAGAAATTATCTTTGTTTAGAAGTATGTTTTCCATGTTTGTGCTTTTGTGTTTGTAAAAACATTTCAGGAGGAATTGAAGAGTGTAGCTATAGTTTGTACTTCAAAATGCCATTTTACATTTATATTTTAAGTGCCTAATTGTTAGTTAAAACTAATTTGTTTTTATTCTGAAGAGAATATGTGTACGTGGTTTCTAATCTCTTTAGCTTTGCTTAAAAAATAATAATAATCCAGAGCCTCTACTTTGTATTTACCCAATAAACCACCGTGACATCAACAGTCTTTTCAAAATCACTAGTACTGTTTCTTTCTGTTTTTTTTTTAAGTTGTTTTCTTTAAAGATTTTAAAATTTTATTTAGTCTTAAATACTTATTAAAATCACAAGTGGGTTTTTTTTCCAAGCACAATTTTTAAAATAAGCTGATAGCCTTCAGTGTTTGGAACTGTAAGAAACTGAGTGTTATTTTTCCTGCCGTTGGATTTAAGGTGAAAAAAGTAATTCAGCCCT